TCAATATGCTGTTAGCCTTTTTTGCAAGAGCATGCTGTCAGCTCATAGTCAGCCTAAGATCCACTGCAACACTTCTCTGAACTACTGCAGCCTAGCCAATCATTCCCCAAGTCTGTTTTTGTGCCCACAATTATTCCATCCCTAGTGCAGGACTTTGCACTTGTTCTTGTTGAATCTCACCTGAATGGTTGTGGACCATTTTTCCAGTCTATCCAAGTCCTTCTGGATCTTTACCCTGCCCCACACAGGGTCTGCAGCTCCACCCAACTTGGTAGCATCTGCAAGTTTGCTAAAAGTGCAATCAATCCCATCATCCACATCATTAACAAAGATGTTAAACAACATCAGGCCCCTGGAAATCCCCACTTGATACCTCCTTCCAAACAGATATTGAGCCATTGATGACTATTCATAATAAGAGATAATAAGGGATAACATAATAATAAGGAATTTTATTTCCAACAAAAAAATGTATTCAGATATATGTGCTGCACTCACCTGGATCATAGGATTCCATAAAACCAAACGGACCATAATCTATTGTTATGGATAACAAACTGAAGTTATCTGTATTGCACACACCTAGAATTATGCAACAATAAAAACAAATATCAAAACAATGAAGCTTTTTAGTCTCAGGACAATATTTCAGAATTCTATTAGAAAATTTGCTGAAAGGCAAGCGCACCGGATCTAGATCACAGTAGGTACTTTTATATCCATACCACTTTAATCTGCATATAAAGGAGAGCATCAAATAGACAGGCTTAAATAAATAGTATTGATAAAACTCAATATTTGCTATTAAAGATCAGCCATTTCTACAGATCTGATCTCTACATTTCCAACCCCTGGCACCAGGTTATCTAGCCCCACAGGACATAAACAGCCCTGCACACTCAATTGGGCACACAGGGGACTGCAGGGCCCAATCCTGGCAAGTAGGTTAAGGCAGAGGTAATGTGGGAACTTAGAGCCTGATCTTGGCCCAAGGGATCAAGTGGAAGTGGTGCAGGGCTCCAATCCCAGCATACAGGGCAAGATGAAATCTTTCCTTTATATATTTGGCTTATATAAACTATAAAGGACGCAAATACACACACCATTAGGACCATATTTCTCACAGAACAACAACAATTCATTAGCTAGCTGGACACTAAGAACCAAGAACCAAACACTGAGATTGGTTTGATGGCATATTATAATTTTCCTGACTCCCAAATTCTTTCCACATATGGAAGGAAAGAATAACTCTCATCCCTTCTGATAGGCCTTGATCTCCCTGTAATCAGCTTGTTTTCTTCTGCTAATTGTGTCTACCACCACTGGCAATTTTTCTCAAGCCCTCCTATAACGGTTCTTTGCTACGCTATGTTTGCCTTGTTCTGGTCAGACTTGATGAAGAATGCTTTGCATTTGAAAGGTTGTCTAATTCAATCCCAACTATATAGTTGGTCCAATAAAAGATATTATCCTAAGAAATCCTTGCCTCTCACAATTTCTGGACTACCACTGTTACATCACTATTACACATGGACACACTGCATACAAAGACTGTTATGAGACCATAATATTTTGCTAATTCCACATTAATAATTAAAAATAATTATCCTAGCTTACCATGAGCAAAGCCCACAGACATCCACAATGCAATCAAGTTTGCAGTCTCTGATACCACTCTAGAGAAAAAATCCTGAAATCAAATAGTTTTTTTTAAATTCAAACCTTTGTGATAAAATTGCAGATAACAATATATGCTTCAATGTAAGCAACAATTAGGGCATTATATTTTATTTCTTTTCAATATCTAGGAATGGTAGTCCTACAGAGAGTTTAACTTATATTTCGTCTGGGATGGTTTGGATAGAGATGATCCTGCCGCAGGCAGGAGGTTGGACTAGATGACTTCTGGAGGTCCTTTCCAAACCTACTTCTCTATGATTTCCAGGAACATATTTTTATCCCTTTCAGAACTTTGGCATGGCACTCCTAAGGAGCTGGTTCCATGGCAATCATATATAAGTGCACTCAGAGATAGATAAGCACATACAGATACATTAGCTATAAAAAGTGTAATGGTAATGAAAAAATATATTGCATTTATTCTGGGCAAAGCAGGAACCTTCAGTCCATTACTACTATTTGTTTACTATGCAGAAGGCACAGGGCAATGCCATTACCACAATAAAGATAAATTCACTGAAGGGAGAACTGTGAAAATAGAACAGAAAAAATTGGGGGAAAAAATGCCTGTTCATACAAACTGCAAGCTGACTTCAATCAATGCACAACTTTTTTTTAAAGTTGTTTTCATGATCATTAGTACAAGTAGTAACCTATTGTTCCTATGCTCATGAAAAGTGAAAGCCTCTCCAATGCTCACCAGATATCTGTTTGAATCATTCATGCTTATTGATGGAAAATGTTCTTGTATGATGAAGTCTAGCAATGATCTGCCAAAAAAAAGAGCATCAACTGTTCTTTATGCAAAATTGACATTTTTAGAACTGTTATACCAAGCAAGTGGTGGAGCCACTCCTATTTTCCATATTTATGATCTGATCCCAAGTCCCCTGCAGTCAGAAAAATAGACTCCTCCTGATTTCAGTAGGCTTTGGATCAGGCACTTATATATTTTGTTAACAAGAGAAAACCTAACTTTTGTTCATAAAACATTATTAGAAGCATTCATGTAGAATTTAAAACCTTTCTGAAGTGTTAAATTCTCAGAAGAGAGCACCATATAGTTTTATGGCCTGGAAAATAACATTTTGTGATTAAACTTGTTGGCTTATAAAAAAAAATTAGACAAAATTCCATCCCAAAATTTTTCAGAGAGAAAACTTTTATGGCCAAATTCAGAGCTGCTTGCCAGAGTCATTGTGGTTCTTTAAGTACTGTCTCTATGTATCCCAACCATGGGTACCATTCAGGCTCTCAGTGCATAGGCCTTGAATTTCTGCAAAACCATTCATAATGGCTGTGCATACACCCAGAAAAAATATATACAGTCCAACCCAAGTCTTAGGGTATATACAGACATTCCATGTGTGTCCGAAGAACAACCTTTCTCCTGGAACAAAAGGAGAGACATACAGATGTTTACGAGATTTCTTGTGGAAGAGAACAGGCTCTTCCGCAAGAAGTTAGATTGGATACTCATATCATCCACTACATCAAAAATCTACTACAAGACTTCAAATAATGGGGAAGGGAGAGTAAATAATTGTTATTCCTTAAATACCATTTTCACATATCTCCAGTCTGTCAAAAAAATATCCAAAGAATCTTACTTATATAAAAACTGTAGAACTGCTCTCTCAAAGAGAGCATTTCAACTGAGTAAAAATGGACAACATAATTTTAGTGATGAGGAAACTACAGGGAATATTAAAAAGCATACAATTCCAATTGTTAGCCACAAACATAATTCCATTTTAAATCTTACATGCTTCTAGGAAATATATTGCAGGAGACAGCTCCACTACTGGTTTATTTCATATTTATATTACATTACTTCCCACATATCAAAAAAGTCCTGTTGCATTAGCATTTTGCAAATACAAGTGCTGGGGTTACAAAAATGTACATAACCGTTCAGCTAATGCAACTAATTACACATTAGGCATATGTGTCTGTTCCTACAGCACCAGGCCATAGAGATAAACATTTAAATCTATTAATTAGTGTTTCTTTAAAAGAAAGTAGTAAAATCAGTTGAATCCCACCAAAAAAGTTAGTTTCCTAAATTACACATTCATATATATTTGACTTATATTAAAATGAACACAGATACCGTGAAGGTTTTGTTCCAACCTTTGTAAGTCCAGTTCCCCAGAATGAGCTAAAATTTCTAATGAACCTATGCGAAACCATGATTTGGCAACACGCAGGACTACTGCACCTAGAATATAGACACAAGTTAAATTTGAATAGATTATTAACAAATTAAGACCAAAAAAAACAACAGCAAATAATTACATATGCATTTTTGTGTGTGGGAACATATAGACAGTACCCACACATACACAAACAACTCCACACACATTAATTTCTCATATCAACATTTTAACATAAGGGGTGCATCCAGATGAGCAGGAACATGCGTTTCCCTGGGGACAAGCAGCAGAGGCACACCTTGTGCTGCTGCTATTTGTCCCTGGGGAATGCCCATGCCAGGGACACTGGCATGCAGCAGGTTACCCCAGGTGGGGTAAGGGAGGCTGGGGCCAGCAACTGTGCTGCCCCAGCAACCTTACCTAGGGTCCTGCGGGCCTCCTGGAGCTGCAGCCGCGGCTCTCCTGCAGCAGGAAGCCTGGCTGGCAGCCAGTGTGTGGTTCTGCCCACCCAGGCTCTGGTTTGAGGCAGTGAGCACTGCCAATGTGTGCACCGCCTTGCTTTTTTTTGGGCGTGGGTATTTTTGACCCTGGGATCTCTTTGGGTCAAAAAAATCCCCCGTGCTGCAAAGTAACGATGCAGGGAATGCCTATATGTGTGGTGTGGTGCCACAGATGGGTCTGCAGTGGCACGTACCGCATGTCCACACTTATCTGGATGCACCCAAGAAGTTTAATTTGCTTCAAAATGATGGACTATAAGCCCATTTAATAAAGAGAAGGAGCTTCTGTGATTAACAGTGAACCTAATTTTCATCAGAGAAAGAAAATGTGATAAACAATGAGGGGGGAAAACAGAAGAAGAAGTGGCATCATTTCAAAAGTGACTAGTAGTTTAGTTATCTAATCATTTTGTAATTCTGACCTAGAAGCACACAGATCAGTGGTTCTCAAACTTTTTCAATCAAAGGAACCCCTCATTAAACTCAAGGCACCCTTCAGAAAATGCCAGCTCTTAGTTTTCACTTGTTTTTTTGACTACAGAAAAACAATAGAGCTATTTGTTTGTTGCAAAGAATTCAGAAAGACTACATCAGGTCAGAATGTTTTTAACACTGTGGATTCCTATTTGAAATCTAGCCAATGCATCACAAGCAGGGCTAAGGAAGTGATACTTCCTCTCTGCTTGGCACTGGTGAGACCCCAACTGGGCACTGCACTTCAAAAAAGACATGGAGAATCTTGAAAGGGCCCAGAGAAGGGCAACAAGAATGATTAAGGGCCTGGAGGACAAACCTTATGAGGAAAGACTAAGGGATCTGGGACTGTTCAGCCCAGGAAAGAGAAGACTGAAGGCAAACCTGGTGGCCGTCTGTAAGTATACAAGGGATGAATATCGGGACCTGGGAGAAAAACTGCTCACTAGGGTGCCTCAGGGGAGGATAAGAAGCAATGGCCATAAACTGTCAGAGGATGGTTTCAGGTTAGATGTAAGAAGAACTTCTTTACGGTAAGGGTGACCAGAATCTGGAATATGCTTCCCAGGGAGATGGTGCAGTCCCCAACCTTGGAAGTCTTCAAGAGGAGACTAGACAGACACCTTGCTGGAATCATTTGATCTCAGCAGTATTCCTCCCCAGAGCAGGGGGGTTGGACTCAATGATCTTTCAAGGTCCCTTCCAGCCCTTAATTTCTATGATTCTATGATCTCTGGGTTTATCTTGTGAATCATGTCTGTACATCTAAAAGTGCTAACATTGCGTGGCACCCCACAGCACCCTTAAAAGGATCTCAAGGCACCCCAGGGTGCCATAGCACCCTCACTGAAAAACACTGGTAGACCAAAGGGTCAAGAAAATCCTTCTTTTCAGGAAAAACATCATTGGTCACAAGAAATTAAAACAAAAGGATGTTGCAGAATTGATATGGAAGGCCCCTCCCAACTAACTTAAGACACCAAAACTAAAAGGGAAAAAAACCCCTACAAAATGGGGGAAGAGGGAGAAGGATGTTTTGGGCATATCTCTGTTCCAGTTTTCTTTTCCAGACATTTTCCAGGGGAAGATACTGCAAAATCTCCTGTTCTCATCATCATCACACTCCCTTCTACTGACACAGCTCTTTCTCCATAGAATCTATCTTTATTCAGAAAAAAAGCCATCAGAAAATTCAGCTTCCCCTTTTCACAGGTCTTTTACACATCTCCAAGGAGGAACTTAATAGCAAAAAATAAGTAAAGTTTCTATGTTAAGTTATCGAAGCAGCTGTGATCCCCTCCTTCCACCCAGCAATCAGCACATTCAACCTCTCCCTTTTGCTAATTCTCTCTTCCATCTATCTGTCTCAATGAGGGTTAAAATTTTATGCACCAATAATCAAGCCAAGTTTCTATGACTGGCCATGGATGCTACTACCACTGTTGTGCTTACCCTTACAAAAAAAAGTTCAGGTGACAGGCTAGAAAGTCCAGACATACCTTCTATGGGATCACAATATCAAAATTCCCCCATCCTGTTTTGTTCTGGCAGCCTTATTTGAGAAACTACAGCTCTTTTGTATGATACATTTAATAAGGAAATCCCTTTAACATACTGAATATAAGGCTCCAAAAGAACGCCACATATATTTTAATGGATTATAGGAAGGTAGGGCTGGAAGGGAACTCACAAGGGCATATAGTCCAGCCCCCTGCTGAAGGCAGGATCACCCCTGACTAAACCACTCCAGCCAAGCATCTGTCCAAACTGCTCTTGAAAATGTCCAGAGATTGCCAGTCCACAACTTCACTTGGCAGCCTGTACAGTGCTTGACCACCCTCAAAGTCAGACATTTCCTCCAAATCTCCAACACAAATTTACTCTGATGCAGCTTGAGGCCACTGCTCCTAGTCCTGGCCCCTACAACCACAGAGAAGTTCATCTCCATCTTCTCTATAATGCTAGCCAGTGCTGTAGCAAGGAGGGGGCGAGCGGGGTGACCGCCGCGGGCACCAAAGCAAATGGGTGCCAATAGGCGCTGTGCTGCGCAGCTGGGGTGGGGCGTGGCATGGAGCCGCAAGTAGTTCGTTTGGGGGGGTGTGGGGACAGGGGAAGGGCAGTTCCCACTGCCGTGTGCACTCTGGGGCAAGCATGGGGAGGGGGCGTAGCGCGTGTGCCCCGTGGATCTGTGTGCAGGATGAGGGCAGGCTGCAGCTGTGGGCTTTTCCCTGAGCACCAAACTTTGTTGCTATGGCACTGATCCTAGCCAAACATAGCCCATAGTTTCCCAGTCTGTTTTTGTGCCTGTAATTATTCCATCCCAAGTGCAGGACTTCACACTTCTTCTTGTTGAATCTCACCGGATTGGTTGCGGACCACATTTTCAGATAATCTGGTCATTTCGGATCCTCGTCCTGCCCTCTAGTGGGTCTGCAATTCCCCCCTATTTGGGAGCTATCTGCAAGTTTGCCAAGTGTGCACTCAATCCCATTGTCCACATCATTAATGAAGATGTTGAACAATATCAGAGCATGGACAGACCTCTGGGGAACCCCACTTGATGCCTTCTCCCAATTACACGTTGAACCACTGCGGACTACTTGTCGAGCACAAGTAGTCCGCAGTTCCAACTAGTTATGTATCCACCTTACAGTACTTCCTTAGCTTGATCATGAGAATGTCATAGGAGAGACTGTAAGCAGCCTTACTAAAGTCAAGGTATATCACGTTCGCTGCTCTCCCCCCATTCCTCAGAGCCTGTCACCTTATCACAGAAGGAAATCAGGTTGGTCAGGCAAGAGTTGCTCTTGGTGAATCCATGCTGGCTGTTCCTAATCAACTTGTTATCCTTTAGGTTGGGGCGGGCAAAAAGCAGCCTGCAAGCTAGACCTAGGCTGCCAAGGCATTTTGTCAGGCCCGTGGCAGGGCCCTTGGCCCTGCCCAACCCAAAGCACAGGGGGCACCATGGGCCACAGTGTATGCAGCTGGTCCCACTGCACCGGGTGTACAGTGGGCCTGGGATGGTGTGCCAGCTGGATTCACTTCCCAGTAGCCCCCACAACAGCAGCTCCTTCCCGCTGTCGCTGCCAGACTCAGCCCTGTTGCCTGGGCAACCCCAGCTCACCTGCCCTGCACTCACTGCCAGGAGCAGCAGATTGAGTGGGTAGGCAGAGTCTCCATGGAGACTAGCTGGGACCCCCCGGAGGAAGGGTGCATGGCTAGCTAGACAGGATGGGGACACAGGTGGGCGGGAATCAGTGTCCGGGAGCAGGATGGGCAGGTGGGGTCAGGATCAGTGAGGCAGTGACAGCATGGGGTTGGGATCTGGTGCAGAACCACAATCTGCTCCCAGCATGCCCCTGCCCATGAAACCGGTACCTGTCACAGAGATGTGCAGACACTGGTCCCTGCCCACCCCTGGCCCCATCCCATTCACCTGGCCAAGTGTGGGGGTCACTGAGGGAAGCTTTGGTGAGCTGTTGCGGGCAGAGCAGGTGCTGACCTGGCCCACGACAGCTCACTAGAACTCCCTAAGGCAGCCTTGTCCAACATACGGCCCGCGGGCCACCATGCAGCCCACCAAGCCATTTTCTATGGCCCATGGTGCTGCAACGGGAAATGAAAGTAAACGCTGTTTACTTTTGTTTCCAACC